CGTGTCCCCCTGGCCCGCAGCAGGGGCCTCCCGGGCCTCGCCCTGCTCGCCTTTGCTGGCCGCGGGCTCTACTGTGGCCTGGGCTGTCTGCACACCCAGGCAGTTGGCCACAGACAGAGCAGTGGAGGAGGAGACAGAGATGTTCTGGTTGGCAATCTGCACGGTGACGTCCCGGAAAGCCATCATGAGGGTCCCGCCGTGGCCCTGGGGCAGGCCGGCAGGTTCCGAGGCCTCATCCCCGGGCCCTGGGCCTGCTCTCTCGGGCTCCTGCATCTCAGCCTCCAGGCCAGGCTGCCCGGAGCCCGCGTGCAGAGCCTGGTGGATCTGGTAAGCGCTGCCCTCCTGCAGGGAGCACATGGTCTTGAGGCTCCAGGTGCTGAGGGCGTCGTCGATGGACTTGGCCAGGGACTGCACCTGCTCGGTGAAGGAGTCCTCCAGCTCGGTGAGCGTGCCCGCGAAGGCGGGCTGCAGGGAGGGCGAGCGCACCAGCGGCAGCCCCATGAGCCCATAGCCTTCCATGAGCGCCTTCTCTGCCGCCAAGCTCTCGGCGGTGGGCGCCCGTACCTTGCGCAGGGAGATCCGCCGAGGCAGGCGACTCTCTAGCAGCGAGTTGCGGATCTTTTCGAAGTTCTTGCTGAGCTGGTACTGGCGGAAGGCGGTTTGGATGGTGCAGGCGGCGCGCCGAGACACGAGGTGGCCCCCGTACTTGTGTTCTAGCATTTCAATCTGCAGCAAGGACAGAGGAGGGGCTCGGTTAGGCAAGGATGTCACAGGCTCCCAGGGTGGGGTGGGGGTCAGTGCCGGGAGCTACCCGGCCCACCTTTGGCGAGGACCGCTGGGGCTCCTGTCTGCTAACCCCTAGCATCCCTGGCCTGAGATCCCAGGTCCTTGCTTCGGGTGGAGAAATCCCTGAGAGGTGGTATCTCAAGGGGCAGTGCAGAGAGGAGTTGCTGACGGTGCCCAGATACAGCTGCTGTGATGGTAATTAGAACGTGTGCCCATCAGAAATGCAAACAGAAGTATTTATAGGTGAAATGCATGTGTTTGATTTGCATTAAAATACTGCAAATTTGCATTGGGCTCGACAACTTATTAATATTAATAAAAATAGTAACAAAATTGGTTGGTGCTCAGTGGTGACTATATGGGAGTTTATTACACTGTTATTTCCACTCTGGTACACACTTAAAAATAATGAACAGTGAAATATTAAACAAAAATGCTTTTTAGAAACCCCAAATAAAATACCTGCTGTCTCTGTCTCTGCCCCACCCCCCACCTTGGGGTCCTTCCCTTTCCTTGGGAGCATCATGAAGATTGGGAACAACGTTTGATGATCTCTGCCCCCACAGTAGCCGGTTCCCATGGTGCGGCACGTGATATGTGCTCAATGCCTGTGAGTTCATTAAAAGTTGAGTCTCAAGAGTGGGAGTCCCTCCAGGCCACCGTGCCCAATAGTTCCACAATCCGAGTCGCCTCTATTATCTGCAGTGGACGCTTTCTGCCTGGGCAGGGCGTGGTCGGGCTGGCTTGGGCTCCTCACATGGTGGTCCCAGGAAAGCTTGACCCTGTCTGCAGGGTTCTTGCTCACCTCTTCTCAGCACTTAACCCATCTATGCTTGTTTCCCGGCTTAGGTTGCTTTGTTTTTGCTTCCTCTCTTTTATTAAAACTTCTCAGGAAAGGATTGGAAAGATATTCCCCTGAGATGTAACTAATACTATTCAATCCTGCTCCCAGAGTGCTCGGCAGTTAAATAAGAGACAGACAGACACTAAAAGGATGGGCTTGATGGGTGGTAATATAGACTCTGGTTGGTCCGTAGAGAAGTTTGAGACATGAGAAAGTGTTCTTGGGCCCTGAGATGATGTCCTATTCATAGCCATCCCCACCACTTACAAATTGTTTCATGCCTGAACTGAGAATTGGGAGAGGTGGGGTGAGATTGGCTGCTCAAGATGAGAACATTACCATTCCCATACCCCAGGGGTCATGGCGGGGAGGGATACAGAGAAGAGGGCCAAGTTTATCCCTTGATACTACACTGAAGCCTGCTTCCTGATCCATTTGACCCTCCAAATACTGCAGCTAGTGCGACTGCCTCCCCATGACCCCTATGATGCCCTCTGTTCCCTCCTCCCCACAGAAAGGATGTTTCCCCACATTGGACCAGCAGTGGCATCTCAAAGCCTAGGAGGCCTTACAGACACAACCCTATTCCTCAGGGACAATCCCAGGTAAAATGAGACATCTCCAGTGCTCTCCTCCAACCCTTCCAGCCTTACCATCCAGTGTCACCTCCATCCCCAAACACAGGGGCATCGTGCTGTCTCTCCCCCCACATCCAGCCCTACTCTCCAAGGATAATTAGAATCTTATGCAGGAAAAGGATGGATGGCCCGTAAGACTTCCTATGTGACTCTCGCTGAAGCAGCTGCATTTCACAAGGTCTAAAGCTCTGAGGAAGTGCCCCGTGCCAGTGGGTTATGTTGAAGGGTCTTCAAAGTGCTCTTAAAAGTCAGAATGGGACTGGGAGTAGAGATCAGTGATAGAATGCTTGCCTCACATGTGTGAAACCTTGGGTTCCATCTCCCGCACCCCACAACATCAACCAATCAATCAAAGAACAAAAGCAGGTGTATCTGCTATCTACTGCTGTGTAACAAATTGCCAAAACCTTAGGGGCTTTAAAACAGACCCATGTATTTTCTCATAGTTTTGTAAATCAAAAGCCTGAGCGCAGCTCATCTGGGTTCTCTGCCCAGGATATTACCAGGCTGAAACTGAGGTGTCAGCTGAGGCTAGAATTCATCTAAGGCTTGGGTATTTCTTTCAGGCTCACTATTGTCAGCAGAATCCAGTTCCTGGGATTATAGGACTGAGGCCCTCAGTTACTAAAAGCTGTCCATGCCACACAGTCCTTTCTACAACGTGATTGTTTGTTCCTTCAAGGCGTGCAGAAGGTCATCTCTCCTAGGCTTTACCTTCTTTTACAAGGTAGACCTGCTTAGGTCTGGCCCACCAAGATGAACTCCCTTTTCATTAACTCAGGCAATGGACTGGAATTATCAGTTTCAAATCCACTGGAAACACATAGTGGATGTATACTATCACCAATCATAGGAATGACATTCATAACATCCATTATTCCTGCTCAAATCTGAGGGAGGGAATTATACAAGGTTTGTATACCCAGGGAGGATCTTGGGGCTCTCCTAGAAGCCTGAGTACCATACCAATGGGGCAGTTGCCTACTTGGTTTTTGTCTAAGTAGGATCACATGCATCCAGAAGAAATATGGATATCTTTGCCTCAGAGACTTTCTTTTCCTGCTCTTGCAGAAATCATGCTAGAAGGCAGAGAACATTGTAGCTGAGCTCAATCCCTCTGTCAAGCTCTGGAATGTACCCTGAGGACTGGATTGGAGATTTGGTTTGGGCCTAGACAGGAGTGTTTTCTGAAGGGAAGTGTAGAGGGCAAGAGGAACTCATTGCTGAACTGCCTCTTTCCTTTCCGATTTCTATCACCCTCTTGCTGCTACTCAAGCACCACGAGAGCTGACACGAGGCCCAGAATTCACTCTATTTCTGCCTTTCTTGGGAAACTCAAGCCTGAGAGTATACTTTTCAAGTTATGAGATGCTGATGGCAACAGAGAAAAGGTAGGAAACCCACTGCCTGAGATGCGCCTGGCACAGTAAAGGGGTCTGTTCCCTCGACAGAGCATCATCCCGCATAGAGGTGGCAGACTGGCTGAGACTGGCTGAGACAACCCTTAGGAGGCTTTTACTGGTCAATGTCATGTTTCACTGAAGCAGGGAAGAAAATCAGATTTAAAATGCTTCTGTCTGTCCCACCGCGTCCTCTCCAGACTGAAAGCCTCATAGAGACAGAGACTTTGCTGCCACATTCATTGCTTCATTCCCAGTACTTAGGTGGTGCTCAGCACACAGTAGGCATTCAATGAATATATACTGAGTCAACCAAAGAGTTAATTCCAGAGCTATCTTTGTGAATTTCAGACGACACAACAACAACAGAAAACTTCCTCATCTGACCGGAGCAGAGTCCTCACCCCTCTCCCCACACTGGATCCTCTCGGCTCTTACTGACATTTCCTGCCTCCACTCACTCCCCCAGGGCTGGGAGTTTAACCCAGGGCTTCACTTTTACCAGGCAAGTGCTGTACCACTGAGCCATACCTCCACTCCCAACCCCTATCCCTCTGTTTGCTGTTTTGCCACCTACCTGCAGATACCTCCCAGATCTCCCCAGGCTAAAACATAGCTCCATTTGACTCCCCTGCCTGTGGGGCACTAGACTGGTCTGCATTTCTACTTCCCACTGAGATTCTTCCAAAATGAATCTGCCCTTCCCCACTCCCTAAACACTGCCAAACTACCTCTATAGCCCCTTACGCTGACCTCATTGCCCTCTGGCTCCTGCCTCCCCTGTCCTCTGCATGGGGCCTCAGCAAGTTCTGCAATGACCTTGTCACTGAATCTCATTGCCCATACTCAATCTCTCTCCTTGCTGCAGCTTTCTTCAGCTCTTAGGACCCCATCTGTCTTGGTTTTCTTGTTCCCATACAACTCCTCAGTCCTAGACTGTGCCCACATCTGCTACTTATAAATCATATATGTACTGTCTTCCATTCTCCGCGTGCATTTTAATTTTTTCTCCTACATGTCTGGAAACCCATCATGACTCCCATGTTGGAAGTCATTAGAGCCCACTCAGTAGCTGATAATTAATAACTAAATAAGCAGAGAAATGTCTCAGGCAGAGCCTTTGTGACCACCCAAATCATGTTCCACAGGCTGATAGCTCTTCACCTCTCATCTGCCTTCCCTCAGAAAATCTCAGAGTTAAGTGCTTCCTCCTGGCTCTCCATCCCCAGGACCTGTGGCCTGCCTCCTTTCCTCCCCTGCCTGGTCTGCATCTCACCCAGCTCCTCGGCCCGCTTTGCCCATCCATACCAGGCCTGCCTTCTGGGGCACCTGCTCAGCCTCCCCCAGCTTCAGTGTCCTCCCACCTTCACCCACTTCCTTCAGGACCCGTACCAAATGTGCCTGTTCCACAGCGCCCTCTCCATCCCTCAACCAGATCACACCCCTGCCTTGGACACGGTACCAAATGTTGTTTCAAGCATCTCTTTGACACTCACTTTGCTCCAGGAGTCTTTGCTGTATTTATCCCACCCAGCCATCTCTGCTCATCTTTCCCTCCCTCCATCCCCAACAGAGCCTAGGTTATTTGCAACATCAAACAGGCCTTGGTCGTCCTCGGATCCACAGATAGACCTTGCATCGCACTAACTTGGAGCACCTGCTCCCTGAAAGGTGTTTGAACTCAGCTATTGGCTCATTACCTCTTGTTCCAGTCCTTTTAGCACAACCGACTCCCCTGATGCAGCCTCTGCCTGCGAGCCCAGCCTGCACAGTTGCACTGTTTCCTCTGTCCAGCACTGCCCACCCTCAGTGCTTGCTGTCACCTCTCGGCTCAGAACTCCCTGCCCTCACAAACCATCCCGCAGAGGCGAGGTAGATCTATCTGCCTCTCATCCCTGTGCCCAGCTCTGTGCCAGATCCAGGGTTGGGGCTTAGTAAATGTTTGTGGACCTGAAGTAAGCTGGACTCTCTCCTGTGCCCTGGGGAAAATAAAACTCCAGTCTCTCTTTCAGAGCCAGGCTTGGAGCCAAATGCTCCATCCTTCCTCCCCCTCCATGTTCCCCCAACCACATTCTC